GTCTCCCTCCCTCCCCCCCCCCTTTTTTTTTCTTTTCTCTTTTTGCCACGAGGCCTTGGTTGTCACCAAGATGGGAAAAGAGGCGGGCGCTAACAGAAACTCAAATACCTGCCTACACAGACTCTCGCCGGCAATGGCCATGAAGCACGGCTTCGAGTCCGTCGAGGCCTATCGGGAGGGCGCGCAGAAGAAGTTCTCGCTCCTCGAGACGGGCATCCTCGACCAGCCGTCGACGAGGCTGCTGCTAGTCAATGGCACGCTCGACGGGCTGATGCCAATCGAGGACTCGATGATGCTCTTTGAGCACGGTTCGCCCAAGGAGGGCCGCTTCTTTGCTGACGCCTTGCACATGGGCTACCCCAAAGCTAATGAATCGGTCTACCCTTGGATGGAGAGTGTTATGGCGGCCAAGTAGACGGGAGGTACAGATCTGGTGACTGGGAGGACTGGAACGACAATGTATTTCTTATTCCTTTGTACAGAACCGGTGACTGGGAGGACTGGAACGACAATGTATCTCTTATTCCTTTGTACACATTCATTTGCCGCCATTGTCACTAGGGCAAACAGACTAGGCAAACAGGCAAGACAGACAGGCCTGGCTGTAATCAACCAACTCGATCGATCGACCATCCAAAAGTTCGCCACCTCACTCGGCCGGCTTCTCCGTCGAAATCTTGCCCTCCTTGTCGTAAAAGATCTCGCATACCTTGACGGATCGCAGGTGGTCGACGCCCTTGCTTAGCTCGCAGTCGTGGTGGAAAAGGTACCACCTGGCCTTGAACTCGACGATGGAGTGGTGCGTGGTCCAGCCCAGGACTGGCTCGAGGATGCGGCCGCCGTAGGTGAAGGGCCCGTAGGGATTGTCACCGACGGCGTAGCACAGGTAGTGCGTGTCGCCCGTCGAGTAGGAGAAGTAGTACCTGCCGCGGTACTTGTGCATCCACGCGGCCTCGAAGAAGCGGCGGTCGTGGTCGTCGGCCAGGATTTTGTCCTTCGTCTCGGGCGCCAGTATGTCCACCTCGCGCACCTCCTCGTCTAGCTGGCGCATGTCGCGCGTCAGGCGCGCCACCCGCGGGCCCAGGGCGTGCACGCCGGCGCCCGAGGGCTCCTTGGGCCCCTGCATGGAGGCATCAAAGACGTCGTCGTTGCCGCCCTGGTAGCACTGCAGCTGGCCGCCCCAGAGGCCGCCAAAGTACATGTAGGCGTGGCCGTCGTCGCCGTCGTCGCCGTCGTCGACAAAGACGGCCGGGTCGATGCTGTACGACCCCCGGATGGGCTCCGGGTCCGGCGCAAAGGGCCCCTCGGGCGAGTCGGCGACGGCGACGCCGATGCGGAAGATGCCCTGCTTGTCGCGGGCCGGGAAGTAGAGGTAGTACTTGCCGTCGCGCGTGGCCGCGTCCGGGGCCCAGAGCTGCTTGGACACCCACGGCACGTCCTCGGCGCGCAGGGCCAGGCCGTGGTCGACGACGACGGGCGCGGGCGGGTCCAGCGACTCGGTCGAGAAGACGTGGTAGTCGGCCATGTCGTACTGGTCGCCGTTGTCGTTGAACTTGATGTCCGTCTCGCGGTCGTGCGAGGGGTAGATGTAGATCTTGCCGTTGAATACGTGCGCCGACGGGTCGGCCGTGTAGAGGTGCGTGATGAGGGGAGCCATTTTGGGGCCTTTGTGTGCTTTTGTCTTCTTTTCTGCTACTTTTGGGGGAGTCAATCAAATGTTGGCTTGTCTGCCCGGCAATGTCTAGATGGACGGGTTGGAGACGGCGGCGACCACACTTCCACGGCGGCAGCACATGTCATGATTTTATACAACTCCCGTCTCCCCCTCACCATCCACACCTTATTCTTCCGCCTTGCCCCTCTCCTCACTTGGCACACGCATTGCACACACACGTCCCATCGCATTCAGGCACCAAGTTTCGCCCATGAGGGGACCAAGCCCGACTTCAGCCAGGTCTACACGAGCCGGGGAGCTTTTGCTGCTGATATTTCCGTCCGTTGCGTGACGCCCGGCTGCGTGGGAAGGGGCCCGCCCATCTTTTGCTATTTAGCCTGATTGACCCGCCCCGCGGACTCGGCTGGACAAGTGAGTGCTGCGCCTGGTTGCGGCTTTTTTTTTTTTTTTT